ACAGCAACATATGTATATATATATATATATATATATATATATATATATATATATATATATATATATATATATATATATACATATATATATATATATATATATATATATATATATATATATATATATATATATATAATATATATATATATATATACAAATATACATATATGCATATATACATACACACATACACACATACATACAAACATACATATATACATTCATACATACATACACATGTGTACGTACACTTATACATATGCCTTTATTTCCTTTCTCTTTTTTGTTCTATGCGCATGTGTTCATGCATGCATATGTATACATATTTAATTATCGTTTTTTTCTTTGTTTTTTTTTTTTAGTTATCATTATTTTGTTGACCTTTATTTACGTCCACATATTGAAACTTTATAGCATATTGACAGTCATTTCTGAAATGTTTTCATACATATATTTGCTTTTAAAAAGTTCACAGCACTTGTCGTCATCCATATACAGTGCATTGTGAACATTCCTTCATCTATCTTTAAATAATTTGCAGTTTTAAATTGTGTTCATGTGAATAATCATGCTACAGGAAATACAACACAACACCATCTCCATAAAAAGGAAAACACTCACGGAATAAAAATACAATTTAATAGGAAGACATTTATTGAGAAATATGTCTTTGTATATAAACATTTTCATTTTCTTATCATGAACCACGTTAGTGACAAAGGGCTAGAACTCCCCTTAAAAGAAAGAGACAGTGTGGAGAGACAGTCAAGTTACATTGTTGTTTTTCGTTCATATCTACATGCTAATAGAAGTGTCACAGCATGTGTTTCTAGATAGAGTAATCATGTCAGAAGTGAGAAAATGGCGTAAACATTTCAAGGCACAATTTACTATTCACAAATTTATCCATTTACATGTAATGATGTAAACATTTATGCTCGTACACGACATTTATACCTCAATGGAATTAATATGTTATTTACAAACATCTATAACCTTGGTTTTACTTAAATCTTTGGTCGAAAGCATAGAAATCATGAATAATCACTGAATTCAGGAGTATATTTAAAGGGAATTCTTCTGATATGTACTAAAAAAATTATTCATCGAACGGGCATCTCAATTCACAAGATGGAACCGCCACATAATGGAACAAAGGGCGACTTATATAATTCAAAATCGACAGCACAAAAGGCATTCTTTCAAAAGGAATTTCTAGGTTCACAATACGAAAATGTGGGGAACTTATATCACCTACGTAGGTACTTAACATAACACAGCATTACATCATGGTAGAAAATTCAACACATACAATATGGTGGATTAGCATAATGGATTCACAGAACCTTACAGATCGATTATAGTTCCTATCAACTTCAAACGTCGGGAAGTGAACAGGAAATGAAGATTTCACCTACCTATATCCATCTATTAGATACAGATAACAAACAGATGTCTAACTGTAACCTCTTAGATCGATAACAGCACTGTCTCTCTTCAACTCGTAATTGGTGCAAAGTGGCACTCTGTTTTAACAAACTCTTATGTGACTGTGTTATCCGTAACTAAGACCATCCGGGCTAAATGGCACTGTCCAAACCCATAGTAATGTACGAGTGATACAACAGTGCCATCCTCCATTCTTAATTCTGGATAACAGTGCCAATCTTCAAGTCATAATGAGAGGATAGTGACCCTGGAAAACCACTTACGGGCAATGACACCTTCTGCATCTCACGTGTCAGGAGAGGAGAGTGACACCGCCCACGTCCCAGCCTTCCAGTGTCGACTTCACTCTCACAAAATACTGATAACTTCTCTCAAAACACCGGGTTTACGTGGCATCAGTATCACAGAAGGAGAGTTCCGTGCCAGCTGTAATGCCCAGCGCTTGGAAAATACCAAAAGTTGATGTAGATACAGAAGTGCAATGTGAGTTTAGGTATATTTACAAAGATTTTTTTCTGTTTGGTTTGCTCTACATTCACTCGCACAATACACACGCTTATCCCTTATAACATATAAAAAAGCAGTTGATACCGCATCATCATCGCTATCAAATGATATGCTAAGTAGAGATATACATGGACATGTGGCTATGTAAAATAGTGGAAATTTTCGGCCTGTCATTTAATTCATTCGCATTATACACATTCATTCATGAGATTAAAAAAAAAAAGAAAAAAAATTCTCGATTGCATTTTTCTTCGTTATTTTGGTCAGACATGTCACCTGAAAACCCGATATAACGTTACAATTTATCGTTGAAACCAAGAACGCTAGGCATATCCTCATATATTAGAAAAAATATGTCAATAGCTTCTGCATGGTCAATCTAACTGGTCCCATGAGAAAACTGGTCGTTGGCAACCCTATGTTTTTTTTTTCCCCAAAAATTCTCAAATTCAAAATAACTTATTCTAGGAGGCTTTGTAGTGAGGCACCTTTTATCTTTTATCTTTTTTTTGGGTTTACTCGAAAGTAAGAAATAAATTTTTAAAAAAGGCTCAAAAAAATATCCGTAAATATCCGTCGGCAATTTAAGTACGAGATCAACGGCGTCGTTGACTTTCTTGAGCAATAAAAAATGACGAAAATTTAGAAGAGTTTGTGCTGGCGAGGACATGCCGGCCTTCCCGATCCGGAGACACACAGTACTACAGCATCGATTCGCTTGAAATGCTTAATGCTGCGTATGTACAAAGCAGAGGTGGTAATGCTCGCGCGCATGTTTTGATTAAAGAGTAAAAGTTATATAGAGAGCGTAAAGTAAGAGAGAATGACCCTAAAAAAGGCAAAAGCCCCCCCACCCTAAAAAAAAAAGAAAATGAAAAAATAAAAAAAGGTCCCACATTCTTAGGGAACGTGGCAATATCACGATATCTTAAAAAAAAAAAAAAAAAAAAAAAAAAATCAAATACTTATAATTCACATACCTCAATTTTCACATTCACTTTCCCTCAAAAAAGAAAAAGAAAAAATCAAATACTCATAATCCACATACCTTAATTTTCAAATCCATTTTTTTCCTCAAAATATACAAAGAAAAATCAGATACTTATAATCCACATACCTCAATTTTCACATATATTTTCTTTCCTCAAAACAGAAAAGAAAAAATCAAATACTTATAATCCACATACCTTAATTTTAAAATACATTTTCCTCAATCCTATTACGAATTTTGCTATAAATGACCTTCAATCGAAACGAATCATTTCTTACTTCGAAACACAATACGAGAAAAGGCCAATAAAGACGTACAAGTCCAAAAATCAAAGTCCTTCTCGGAATAAGGGCGGTTCGAGCAAGCACCGTTCACGGCCAGCGGTCAAGATGCCAGGCGCTCGTCTTGTCAGGCCGGAGATGGCGCAGACGACGAGGACGACCCAAGAGCTTATGCCAACGAATCAGCTGATGATAAATAAAGAGCTCTTAGAATGAAAAAACTACGAAGAAGAAAAGAAAAGACTAAAAAAGAAAGAAAAAAATCACCCCCCCCAAAAAAAAATTAATGAATTAAACACCCTCCAGAAAAAATAAAAAAAAAACAAAAATATCTAAATCTATTAAAAAAAAAGGAGGAACGACCTAAATCCAAAACAACAACAGCAGCACTACGGATCTACGAGGGAGCGATGGGAGAACAAGTCGCCCTAAACCGGATTCCTGATGGCCTTTTGTGCGTATGGGATCCTAGTTCAGGCGACCGCTTCTTCAGGTATCATAAAAGGAGTACAGCCTTTCACCTTCTACAGCTTCTACCCGTGGTGGCAGCTCTAGGCACGAAGAACCTCACCAACAGCTGGGGGGAGATGAGGAACATGAGTTAGGATTATTAGGATTATTTGTGGATTTATGTGTATATATATACAATCACACACGCACACACACACACACGTGCAATTCACAAACACACAATTTTTTTATATTATTATTATTTGATGTAGAGGAAATATTGCAAAAAACATTGTGTAATTTGGTTTCATGTGTTATTATCATTATTATTTGTGTGATTTAGATTGCTAAGTTCATCAGTAACTTTCTGTGAGAATTTCGTGTCTTATTTTACTGTATGTGCGTTTTTCCGAATTTCTTTGTTTTGGTTTGTGTAAGTATGCATGTATGTGTGCCCGCTTTTCTGTACCTGTTTCTTTGTTTTTTGGTTTGTGTACGTATATGTATATGTATACGTGTCCGTACGTGCATATGTATTTGCGTGCATGGGTGTTCGTGTGTGCGTTTACACCTGCCAGAAAACTAGGTTATGACGTCATTCGCAACATCCTTCTACTCACCACTTCTTCACCTCGGCAGTGTCTCATTTACTATCATCTTTCTTTTTCGTCTCCGCAGCGTGTTCAGCGGCGATGACAGCTGCCTTGGCGTGGGCGTTCTGCAGCTTCGCTTCTTTGAGTTTCTTCTCTTTGAGCGAAGCCTGTAACGAGGGAAAGGCGCCATTATTAAGGGTTTACGGCTGTGGAAAATGTTGGAAGTATTTCGTTTTATTTACAAGGTAGATGAATGATGATAATAATTTGAGGAATAATTTGGAAACAATGTAAATTTGTAAGGGTTTATGGTTATAAAATAAGTTACAGATATCTTGTTGTATTTCGAGGTATATATATATAATATATATACTTGCTTAATAACCTAAGAGTAATAAAGATAATAATGTGTCGAATAACTGATAATGCAACGAATGAGATGCAAAATATAAATTGATAAAGGTTTATGGATGTAAATAAATGTAACTATCGTAAATGTAAATGTATTTATGTATTTATAATTTCCTAAATATCCTGCGTTATTTACCTTTTGCTCTATCCATCCGTTTTCTTTGTCTCATTATCAGTTAACTTGTTTATGTATGTATATGTGTATCTGAGCGTGTTTGTATATAAGTGGATGTGAATGTATACATGTGTCAGTGTACGTATGTATACTTAACTGTATATGAATGATAATGTGTTAATATCCTACGCTTAAACTAAATCCCTATATGTGTTATTCATCTGTCACTTAAAAAGAAAAAACGAAAAAATACAATAAATGAACTTACCGGAATGCCTCCAAAGCCGTAAACTATAAAAGGGAAGAGAGAAAAAATACATTAATAGATAATAACAAGAAATAAATGGAAATGCTGGGGAAAAAAAGATATGTTATGCATTTTTTTTTCGGTTCGCAATTTTCTGCATAATGGCACTACAAATGCGACGTGAACGAGGCTAAATCGGATCACTTCATACCAGACAGGAGAAAATTCTTTTATGGATTTCTTTTGCATAACTCTACGGACCTACTACCCTAGTTTCACATATCTTTTTTTCCTCCTCTTTTTCTTTTCTGCATTTTCATTGTATTTGATTCTGTTGTATTCTCCTGTTTTAAGTTTCTTTCTTAATATATTTTTTTTTTACTAATTGTGTATGACTACTACGCTCGTATAATGATTTACATTTTTGTGAATTTATGCGCAGTCAGTTTCATCGTACATATTTTTTTTTTTTCGTATTTTTATGATCTACTTTTGCCTATTACGTTCCTCACTTTCCAAACTATACAACCAACCGACTCCCTATCCCCACCCCTTAAAAAAAATGAAAGAAATAATAGCACATCCTGTAAAATAGTCTATCTATCTCTTTATCTTCCCTTCCTCCACATTCTTCCCTCTTCTTCCTCTACCTCCCTCCTCTTCTTTCTCCTTCCCTTCCTCCTCCTCCCTTCCTCCCTCTTTTTCTCCTCCTCCTCCCCTCCTCTTTTCTCCTCCTCCTCCACCTTTCTTCCTCCCCTCCTCCCCTCCCACTTTTTCAGAATCTACAAAGCAGCAATGTTGACACAGGTGTCTCTCCAAAGCTAGTTTCTCTGAGACATCTCCTCCGGTCCCTCCTTCTTCCTCTTCCGTCTTTTTTTCCTTCCTCCTTTCTTCCCGCTCTCTTTCCCTTCTCTCATCCTCCTTCTTTTCTTTCTTTCCCTCTCTTATCTCCTCTTTTCCTTTATCCTGTTTTTTTTTTTTCTCTTTCTTTCTCCCCCCTTTTCTTTTCTACCTTCCTTCCAACTCCATCTACCATATTCTTATCCTTCTCCCTCTTCTCTTATCCTTCTCCCTCCCTCTTCTCTTTCTTCTCTCTATCTTTCCATCCTTTTCCCTCTCTTTCATTTTTCCTTCTTTTTCCCTCCCCTTCCTTCCCTTACCTCCAAAGTGTGTTCCTCATATGTTGTGGGAGTCACGAGGCAATACACGAGGGCGTGGCGAGGGTGTGGGCGGGTGGGCGGAGGTTACGGGGTAGTCTGGAGTGGGTGGGTGGGGGGTAAGGGGGTATGGGAGTAGTCTGGGGCGGGTTGGTAGGTGGGCGGGGATGAGAGAGTAAGTCTAGGGGGGGGGGGGGTTAGGGGGTAGTCTGGAGTGGGTGGGTGAGGGTGAGAGGGTAGTCTGGGGTGGGGGGGGTTAGGGTGTAGTCTGGAGTGGGTGGGTGGGGGTGAGAGGGTAGTCTGGGGTGGTGGGTGACGGGTGGGTGGATAGGTGGGAGGTTATGAGAGGCAAATCACAGGTGAACAGAGGGGCGGGCGGAGGAGAAGATACCTTAGCCTAAGTGGGCGTGAGGGCGTCGCTGAGAGAAGACCTCAACAGAATCAGGGGGTGGGTGGGGGTGGGGGGGTGGGGGCGTTAAGTAAATACTCAACTTAAGTATTTGATATTCACGTGTCACCCACGCTTGGCTGAATACCATCTATGACTCATGTGCTGGATTAGGTGGCGTTAGAATATGATGCATAATAATTGATGTATAAGTGATGTACACGAAGGAACTGTAGATCGCGATACAAGGAAATAATGAATAATAATGAATGTATAAGTGATGTATGACAAGGAACTGTAGATCGCGATGTATGAAAATGATGTATAGTAACTGATGTATAAGCAATGTATAGGAAGGAAGTGTAGATAGCAATACAAGGAAATAATGAATAATAATGAATGTATAAGTGATGTATGACAAAGAACTGTAGCTCGCGATGCATGGAAATGATGATTGATAATTATGAATAAGTATGAATATTGATGTATAAATGATGTTAAGTGGTTTTGATGTGTAAAGTATGAATATTGATCTATTGATGGTGACCGTAAGAATGTTTTTTCTCTGATTAATGTGGAAAGTGAAATTAATTAATTGAGTTTACGTGTGTACATGTGTGTGTATGTGTGTGTGTGTGTGTGTGTGTGTGTGTGTGTGTGTGTGTGTGTGTGTGTGTGTGTGTGTGTGTGTGTGTGTGTGTGTGTGTGTGTGTGTGTGTGTGTGTGTGTGTGTGTGTACATCCTCTGTTACAGAGGATGGATATCTTAGAATTATAAAAAAAAACTTTTTCCATCTTTTCATCCTTTCCTCTCTCTTCCTTTACCTTATCCTTCCCCCTCTACCTCTTCCCTCCTTTATTTTCTCCGCTTCACTTCCCTGGTTCTTTAGTGACTCACCCCTGTGCCCAGCCATAAGGTAAAGTGTGTTTACTTTGGCTTTATACAAACTTTGTGTTTTGTTTACAGATTGTGAAAGAGGAGTTTAAATATTTCTCTAAACTAAAACGTATGTGCTGCTAACGTCTCTCACTTAACTACACTCAAATAAACTTCAACATGATTTTTGAAATAATTACTGAAAATCTAAGGGGAAATATAGATAGGTAGATAGATAGATAGATAGATAGATAGATAGATAGATAGATAGATAGAGAGAGAGAGAGAGAGAGAGAGAGAGAGAGAGAGAGAGAGAGAGAGAGAGAGAGAGAGAGAGAGAGAGAGAGAGAGAGAGAGAGAGAGAGATAGCGATAGCGATAAAGAGAGAGAGGGAGAAAGAGATGAGTGCATAGAGAGAGGGAGGTAGATATATAGATAGATAGAAAAGTAGATTGACAGATAAATAAATGAATAGCGATAAAGAGAGAGGGAGAAGGAGATTGATAGACATAGAGTTGGGTGGATAGAGAGATGGAGAGGGAGGGAGAGAGAGAAAGAGAGAGAGATAAATGAGAAGATATCAAAACATATTTTTCTGTATAATAATGCCATGCTGTTAAATATATGACGTGTTTCATATTTCGAGTACAATGAAATTAGCATTGAAGACGCTTATCAAATTATCATATTTTGCCACCGCCATAAGTGGTATTAGAATGATCTAACACCAGTTCCTGTAATAACTCAACAACAACTATAACTCTGGATATGGTACACTATCACTATACATCCTCTTATTATGTGAAATACCTTTTAGATAAGGAAATGAATTACTTTCAGAGGCGACATTACCGCTTATTCAGCATTTCATAAGAATTTCCTTGATGATGATATGTGTGTCATGCATTCAGAATCAATAAAAAATAATTGTGTAGCATTATCTTGAACGATTTCTTCTGAACAAAGACATTTTGGCTCAGGTAATTTGTTTAGGGTAGACTAAATTATTATCAATTGTATATTTTGCTTGGATATATGATAAGATAAATTGCTGGAAACATGGATAATAGATAACAATAATGATAATTAGGAGGAGGGGGAGGAGGGGAGTAAGGGGAGGAAGGGAGAGGAAGAAAGGGGAGGAAGGGGAGGAGGGGGAGGAAGGGAGAGGGAGGAGGGGGAGGAGAGGGAGGAGGGGAGGAGAGGGGGAGGAAGGGAGGAGGGGAGGAAGGGGGAAGGGGAGGGAGGAGGGAGAGGAGGGGGAGGAGGGAGGAAGGGAGGAGGGGGAAGAGGGGAAGGAGGGGGAAGGGGAGGAAGGGAGGAGGGGAGCGTAGAGGGGAGGAGGAGGAGGAGGATAATGATAATAATAATGATAATGATAATAATAATAATAATAAACAACAAGAACAAGAAGAAGAGAAGGAATAGTAATTATAAGAGGAGGAGGACGAAGAAGACGAGGAAGAAGGGAAAAATGGGAAGAAAATATAGGAGAAAAAAGGAAAAATAAGAAAGGAGAGGCAAGAAAAAGAAAAAGAAGGTGGAGAGAGAGAAAGAGATAGATAGATAGATAGATAGATAGAGAGAGAGAGAGAAAGAGACAGAGAGAGAGAGGGAGACAAAACCTAAACCCAAACCCAGATACCAAGAAAAAAAACAAGAAAAAACGGAGAAAGAAGGAAAGCGACAAAACGAACAAACAAACAAACAACCCCCCCCCCCAAAAAAAAAACAATAAAAAAAACATAACTCACCATTTGCTCTGCCTGGGATTCGTCCTCCCGTTCCCATACTCCCAAGGACGGTGACGAGAGACATAATGGTTGGAGCTTTTCAAAGAGTATTGAGCACTTGTAGGTCGTCCAGCGGGTCCCTTGCCGGACGGGTGTGGACGATGCCTGGGGGTCTCGGCGAGTTGGGGGCTGAGAGGGCGAGTACCTGGGAGGGAGAGGGGAGAGAAAAGTTGCTGTGAGATACGTGGCGAGTGGGAGTGAGCGAGGGAGAGGGGGGAAAGGATGCTGTGATAGATAGATAGATAGATAGATAGATAGATAGATAGATAGATAGATAGATAGATAGATAGATAGATAGATAGATAGATGGATAGATAGAGAGAGAGAGAGATAGAGAAAGAGGAGACAAAAGATGCTGTGAGATATGTGGCGAGTGGGAGTGAGCGAGGGAGAAAGGAGAAAAGATGGTGATAGATAGATAGATAGATAGATAGATAGATAGAGAGAAAGAGGAGAGAAAAGATGCTGTGAGATATGTGGCGAGTGGGAGTGAGCGAGGGAGAAAGGAGAAAAGATGCTGTGATAGATAGATTGATAGACAGATAGATAGATAGAGAAAGAGGAGAGAAAAGATGCTGTAAGATATGTGGCGAGTGGGAGTGAACGAGGGAGAAAGGAGAAAAGATGCTGTGATAGATAGATTGATAGACAGATAGATAGATAGAGAAAGAGGAGAGAAAAGATGCTATGTGATACGTGGCGAGTGGGAGTGAGCGAAGGAGAGGGGAGAAAAGAAGATGCT